CTATATCAAAACATGAATGCCAGACATTAGAGATTACATTAGCTGACAAATTGTCTGCTCTTTTTTGTATATGTCTGAGATGACATGGTTGTTACAGCACTCACCTGGCATTTGAGAATTGGAACTTAGTTCTCTGCTTTAATGTATCATTACTTGCTTTCAGATGTGTATTTCCTCAGATATCAAATGAAGATGGCTGTACCTTTCTCTTTCTTGTTTAAAAAAGGTAAAACCTTGAAGGTTACGGAGTATCCTCATATTATTGCAATGGAGGTCAAAAAATTTCCCTGACTGTTACACAGACATGGAACTCTTCTTCATTATTAAATCAGATGTTACCGGGACTTTCTGTTTTTGACAGTAGATTGTGTTTATAAACAGAGAAAGCCAGCAGTTTTCTAAAAAAAAATCAGAAAGGGTACAAGACCAAGTACCTGCATTGCTGGTGTTCTGACTTGAACCCTTGTAGATACATATGCAAAGACCTTGTCCTGGCGTTTGCATCCTCACTCTCTTCAGCTCATGTTTTTCAACCACTTGTAAATGGTGAACACAGCTAGGCTTCCTCACTATAATAAGACACAACTTTTCCTGTTGAGGTCTGGCCCTATAATTTTGTAATCAGACATCAGAGTCTGATTGTCGTAATTGTGTGCCTAATTTGCATTCATAATTACCAAGATTATGCATGTCAATTAAGTATTTGAGTCCACAATTAGATATTGCACATTCTGGTAATTGCACATGGAAACTGGGCATGCAGTTGCATGTGAATGTGCCCACAGTTGGACAGATATCCAATTCCAGCTCTAGGAAATTCAGATATTAATCTGCAAGTGTTCCAATAGGATAGTAAAGAAAAGCTGAGATGAACCAATATTATATCCTGTGCCGTTTATTACTAAAAAAGAGCTATTTAGGATGTAAAGACAAAATGATGCTTTTTTAACACACTAAGAACAGGGAACTCCTGCTTTCTGGGATCTGTTTGATTTCTGAAAGTTATTACAAATGGACTCGTGTTGTTTGTTACCTCATTCCAAAATCGCTTATTCTTTATTGTTAAATTAGTGGTTCAGTGGTTAGTGTCCTGCTCTGACATTTTTTCACTGCTGTGAGGGTTGAAATATATTTTTCTGTTTTGCATTGCTTTTATAAGGGATAAAATTACCGAGTGGCAGTTGGAGGGGTGTGGGCAAGCTGTAGAGAAATTTTGAGACGTGTACTAGTTTGAAACTTTAGTTTTCTCATACACAAAAACTATAACTCTTTTAAAAATGTCTTTTCCAGGAACAAAGGGGTCACTAGAGCCTGAGTGGCAGGGTGTTGCTGTACTGACATGTGAAGATGTGAAATAGGAAAAGATTGGTTTGAGATATTTGGATTTTTTTCTTATAAATTTTCCTTAAAAAAACAGAATGATGGTAGTTTTGTAAGTAGTATGCCCTTTGAAGTCAGAATGAGGTACCACTCTTTGGCAGAGTAAAAAAGCAGTCTCTATGAAAGTACAGTAGTACATTTTGAGTGTTTAATAATCAACAGCCTCAGCTAGATGTAGAGTGAACAGTCTGAGGAAGCTCTTCTTTGTGCTGCCTCTAAAATGAAACATGGTTTCTTTTAGCATGGATCCAATTAATGCCACACAACCAGGGCATCTGGTATGATAAAAAGGGAAACAATGAAATGTTAATTTGCAAGTTGTGTGATTTTTCCAGTGGACATACAAAGTGCTGAAATTCTCAAAAAAAACCCCAAAGACAAGACAAAGAATGGAATTGGTTTAAAATAGAAATCTAAAACCCCCATAAACCCCCTCCAGACAAAGACCAAACCACACATGCATTTTAGTTATTCAATCCTTTTGCAGAATCACCTTGTAGCATCTGTTCACTCAGAAGCCTGGAGGCAGAAAACATTTATTTGTTAAAATTCATAGTGCATGAAATAGATTTTTAACATTTTTACTATTTCGTATCAAACAAAGATTGTTATTATATTTCTTCATATATCAGCAGTGTATTTTTCAGAACTTATGTGTGTATATATATAACTATAGCAAGAGAAGATTTTGACAGATCACAGGAGCTGAATTATACACTAGAGATCACACCGTTTACTAGTAATTTTTGGTAGTAAGTTTATGCTGTATGTTCATCGTTGATAATGTATATGCATTGTAATAAACATTCCATTGTACTTGTCTCTGAAATGTTCCAAGATTTTATAAACTGTTGTAGTGTTTTTGATACCAAAATAATTCTAGTTTATTTAGGAAGTAGTAATGTATTCTGGAGGGAAACATGTCTTGTAATAAGTATTTATTTTAGCATATATCTTTTATGAAAAGGTAAGATTAGAAACTTTTTTCCAATAAAAAGTGTGGCTTTCTTGATTTTCAGAGACATCCTCTGCTGTGAGATGAATTCCTGTGTTAGTGTAAAAGCATCTCTGGTAACTCTGAACTAACCTTAGTTCCATGAGTCTGGGAGAGATGGGCTAAGAGCACAGGGCTGCTTCAGCAGCTTGAAAACATCTGGTCAACACGTTAACTTTGATGCTCTAAAATTCTTTTTGACATTGATGAAACAATAGTAAACTGCTTGCTTTCCATATTTTTAAACTGTTAGCAAAACTTTCTGTTTAAAAATATCAGTTATACGTAAGATTGTTTTTGCTAAGATGTTTCTTGGAGAATTTTATAAAAAATATATATTTTACTTTTGAAAAAATCCAATGAATATTTTAAAATTCATATGCACTATACATATTTCATGAAAAATTTTTTTATTTTCTGACTTTCTGAAGAGCTTCAATGACTGTAACAGTACTGTGCTGTAGTTGATACTTTTGTGTACAGATTGATGGCCTCGTGTTAAAATCACCCTGAGTGCTGAAGTCAGTAGTCTGAATAGACTACAGAATAACAAGAGGTTGATGCTTTTATTGAATGTTTTTGTAATTTGTTTTCATTCTTATTTTCATTATTACTTGTAAAAAATATGAAAGGCACAATTCAAGTGACAGTAGTATTTTACTTTTTCTACAAAGATAAGTGATTATATTAGGTTTTCCTGCCTATAATAGTGCTCTAAAACCAATGGCCTGATAAATAAATTTTTTCTTTCACTATGCTGATGAGGTAATTTTGTTTTCCAGTTGTGGAGACTGAAATAATGCTTCACAAAAGCATTGCCTTCCTTGCCTCTTGCCACTGTATATCTTAATTTTCTTACAAATCAAATGTTATATTTTTAAACATACTTAAAAGAGTAATTACTAGTACTTACAAAGATACTGTCTAGTATTTACTTAAGTTTAAATTAATTAATTTAATTAACGTTTAGCTTGTGTGGGAAAAGAACCACTTTGCAGTGTAGCTGTCCAGGTGTTTATGCTCTCCTGGCTTATTTAGACAAACAAAACTGTGCCTTTCAGCTGCTCAGAATATTAAGCTGCACTGAACCACATTTACTAGGTCACTACGGGTAATTGTTTTGAAAAAGCAGCCCTTTTATTGTGGCTTAAGAATTGCCTAGGGGCTAGGATGTAAATTTTCTTCTTTCAACTTATTGAAATTTAATAATGAAATAGGAAGGTCTCTGCCCTTCAATATACTGCTGTAGTATCTTTTTTTTACAAAGTAAAAAAAAAATGTTTCTGTGGTAGAACATCAGGAGATTGAAGTACTTGCTTGTTGATGTTGCATACAGTGTCCTTTTATAATAACATGGTTCATGATACTGTATTTAATGATATATAGCTCCTTCTTAGAAACCTGAGAGAATGTGTTTCTCCTCTGAGCATTTTATTTTTGGAAAGGAGTGCTAATGTTTTGAAAATGTGCTACTTAGTACTTTATATCTTAGTATTATAACTTAATGTTCATATTATGTAGTAGTTTTATATTTTTATTGAGTGCAAAATTAATGAAATTCATCAAACATATTATATATCTGCAGAAATAACATATGCTTAGAAAGAGGAAAATATAGAATAAATTCTAACCTGTCAACCTCTAAGAACTGCTTGTTGGAAAATTTTACGTTTGCTCCTGGCCAGCAAGTATGGCAGGGCATAGTTGCTGAACC